AAAAGTCCAAACCACGCCAAGCATATATTTTCTTTTTCTTTTTGAATTTGTCATTGAATTTTACACAACATACAAAAAAAATAGAAAATCCTATGAAACACTTTTTTCAATATCTCTAATTATTCTCCGAATTCATGTTTATTTTTCTCATTTTTTGTTCGGTTGAGGAACATGGAGAACCATTTTTTAAAGAAATATGTTCAGATTATCATTTGTTTCATACAGAATCATTAGATAAGATAATCTTTGCATAAAAACAATGCTCGTTGTGTGTTTTAAGCTATCTTATACATTTTCTATTCGTTATAACACAGGCTATTTTGACAGTTTTTATATACGGTTACCATGGAAAAACTGCCATTTTACAAGAAATCCAACACGTCAACATATATTTTTCTTTTTCTTTTTAAATTCGTCATTAAATTTTACTCATCATACAAAAAATTTAGAAAATTCTATGAAAGGATTCATTTTTCATAAAACTGTAGAAAATGTCTTTAAATAAGCAGTTGGAAACAAAGTGCAACATGAATCGATGAATGAACGAAATTCAATTACGATGAACTAGAAAGAGCATGATTTTCAGGAAGCTGCCAATGTTCTCGGTGCAGATTCAAATTATTTATCCCACTATTATTATAATACGTGTTTAGGATTCAAATGTTTTTCTCATAAGTGTTGAAACTATGTGCTTATGATTTTAGTCATGTCTTCTGGGACATATGATGGAAATATTTAATAAATGCTTTTAGTGTTGTAAAGACATATTTTTTATTTTTTTGAACAATATATTTTCACAACGTACGGTAATTCAGTTTTAGGCGGACATAGGAATGTCGCGGTTTGAAATTTGAATGAAAGTGGTAAAATTATTAAAACGATTCATATAACCTGAATCTGAAGAAACTAAATGAGTTTGGCCGTCAAAAGTTATTACCGAAAACGATAAAAACGGAGATAAATGACTACATAAATCCTGTGCGAAGGCAAACATCGCGGAATATAGCCGAAATCTATGTTAATTTTTGTTTGTTACCAAATGGGAAAAAATATTTTGATTTTTGAAAGTTTTTTAAAAGGGGTGGACTGTGAATTAGCATATTACTAAAAGGGTTACGCGAAATTTTTTCCTTTAAATTTTATATTTAATTTTAATTAAGGGTTAAAAAATTTAAATATCATCTGTTAATAAAAAAACCCATTTTATTTAAAAGAAAAAAATAAAGTTTTCTTTTTCCTTTTTTTAAAAAAATATTTTTTTTAGAAGAAAATTAATAAAAAATTTTTAAACCCCAAACCCTTTTTTAAAGTTTTACCGGGTTTTTCAATGTCAACAAAAAACGAAGCCCAATATTTAAAGTTATATGCCTAGGGAAAATAGGGGCTTAAAACTATACTTGAAAAGGCTTTTAAAATTACCTGTACTTTTCATTTATTTCTCAAAAGGAAAATTTCAAAAACCTTTAAACAAAGACGTCAAAATACTTCCAACCAGTTGTGTCTATTTTAATTGCTTTCGAGTGATCTCCCATATTCCAAAATATTTGATTAATTTACTACTTTGAACAAAAGACCACCTACTATAATATTGTGTCAGAAATACTCAAATTGTATATACAACTGATAGGAAATTTTAGGTTTCAAGTACAAAATTTATATATTTGAAGCAGTACTTTAAAAGTAAATAAAACGATTCAATTTGCAAATGCAACGATGACAATAGGGACATCCATCTTATCAAACACCACTTAAAGCTTTTAGGAAACGTGTTATCTTATATCCTATGTGAGATGTTAAAATATTCTTTGGGCAAATTTATGGTTCTTCTTTTTTATATATATTTTCTGTTAATATATACATTTTTATTGTTCCTCTTGAGATAAGATTAAACATTTAAAGTAACCTGATAGTTTGTTTTGTTTTACGGTGCAGCAACATAATTTAGGTTCAATGACGCGGAAAAAGAAAAATGTTTTTGGCTGACCTCGGGTGTTACTAACAAAATATCAGGATCAATATCAAATAATCCTGATTTTATATTCATTGTTTTGTAAAACTAAAATTGGTCGTATTTTCTTAGAATTAAATGGTACATAGCTGTTAAAAATAGCTAATTGGCAAGGAAACAACCCTAAAAAATACATGCCATTTTAAGTTCAAATCGATCATAATATTAAATATTAATTCAATGAAGATAAAAAAAAATCGAGTTTTTAAAGTTCATCTTGAGTTAATTTATATATTGAGTTAAGTTTGAGGGGCAGTATAATTAAAAGGTAGGACGCAGAATTTTGTTTTTTTCATTAATTTATCAAAATAATTATTCTTTCAACATGCAAAGGTTAGGACAAAATTGTTTACTTGTGTACATTTCCTTCTTAGTCTATGTAAAAACAGGTGGAACTTTAGGGAAGATCTTTAAAGAAGCTATAATTAAATACAGATTTCAATAATAAAAAGGTGTTGCTTGGCTCCTTTTCGGAAGTCCTGTATTGCGGTAATGCGTGCACTGAACGACGCCCTTCCTTGTTAATCTGGTTTTTCATTTTTTGTTGCAATATTTGTGTAATGTAGTCGAACCTGGATTTTTTGTTAGGCACCTACAACGGCTTCAATGGCAATTCGAGTCACTCGGCGTTCTCATCAATTATGTATGCAATGGACCATATATAGAAAGCTATAATGTCAATTAAATATTTAATTAGTTGAAACGCTGATGTCCTGGTACAATAAAATATGATTTACAAAAGATTTTTTGCTTGTCGATTTTCAAATTGTAATGAATATGTGTCTGCATAAAGGTTTATAAAGGTATTAGCGCTCTTAACTATTTGTTTTGTCTGTTCATCAATATAGTTAGATTTAGCTTCAAAATAAATAATTCTATAAGATAATTGAATCCAAACAAGACTTTTCAGTAGGTGTCATAAAAGATTTACAAAATATCGATGAGAAAAGTTCTATGGGTTGACTAAGGAAAATACATTAATTTCTCAATTTTACTCGGCACAAGGGATAACCATTATTAGAAGATATGCAGAACGCAATAATTAGGTTGCTAACCCTAAGGTCAAGGCCACATTTAAAGGACAAGAATTAAAAAGTCTAAATTTTGTGTCCGCTCCAAAACTTTTAAACCGTTGAAAACAATTAGAAAAACGTTGGCACAAGTTATCACACATTATGAGATGTTATACAGAGCGCAGTTATTTGGTTGTTATCCCCAAGGTCAATATCACACGAAACGGTTATGTGTTAAAAAGTCTACATTTCGTGTCCGCTCCATAACTTTTAAACTACGCACAAGTGATCATCATTATGAGACAATGTGCAGAGCGCAATAATTGGGTTTCAACCTCCAAAGTCAAGGTCATACTAAAATGTCAAGTGTTACAAGTCTACATTTCGTGTCCGCTCCATAACTTTAAAAATAATTGTAAAAAAATTGTTTAAAATAACTTGGCAGTCGCAAAAGCAGTGCGGGTATGCAATGAAATTATACACATGTTATTGGTGTTGTTGCTACACTATGGGCACAATTGTCTTTCCGCCGGTTATATTAAGCTGTAAGAAGGTACCACCTTAAGCAAAACACTTTTTGCTGTTTCCTTAGGGTGTTGTTAAAGCAGGTGTGGCTGTGCATTGTATATTTTTCAAGGTGTTTGATATTTTGTTCAATGTTAAAAGTAGATATGTTATTTTAAAATTCAATACACTTTGTGTAGTTACAATATGAATACGTGACTGTATATAGTTTCATTAAAATACTGGCATATTTTTCAAGGAAAGACAGACTGTAATAAACCTATACTAGGAAACACAACTTCCCATACATAGTATATTCATTCTATTATTCCAGCGAGACATATTCATAAAGACTTTCATAAATTTCAATAAATGTATGCGATTAAAATATTTTACTTAATGATAAGCATAGTATATCTTTAATAATTGCTTTATAAGGCATGTTTTGCAACAAAAAATGTTCAAGTAAACAAGTATCAGTGTAAGCATTCAAAAGAAGAATGTGATTTTAAGCATTTAGGTGTTCTATGATAAAGATACATAGATTTTAATCAAACGAAGTCCGTCTGTTTGACTTACTGTAAAATTCACAGGGAAGGACTGAACTTAACAAAAAATTTCTATTTTAAAATTGCAAAGTAAATCGGCGAATTTCATTGGTCATTCTAAAATAAATCGTAATGGAAAGCTCTGACCATTCTAAAATAAATTGTAAAGGATAGTTATTATCATTCTAAAAATTTTAAGTATAGTCCTAAAATAAATGTAAGGGATCGTTTATGCCACTATAGAATAGAATGTAACGGACAGTTCTAAAATGAAATGTTCAGGAATGAGGATAGTTCTTAAACTTTTAGGTTGATTTGTAAATGATTACAAAATTCATAGTGTCAAACGTAATGCAAGTAAAAAAGACACCTAAAATAGAAGTTGTCCTACTTTGAAAAATCACAAGTATCAATATGCTATAATATTATTTCACTAGTTACAAATTGGGTATTTTCTTAGCTACAAGAGATAATTATTATGTTATTGTTATGCAAGCATTGCTTACAATTCTTAAAGTATTGAAAATTTAGAAATAATACAATTTTGCATGTTAAACAGTTAAAAATTCAGCCGACTATCTATTTTAAGATACTTCTTGTTTATTGATGAAATTGTGTTTATGTTTATGAATTTTTCATTTATGTTGAACGGTCAACATCTTTTCCTCGATAAATCTGCTTTATAGAAATCTAGGTCAACTACAGACGTTTCTTATATGTAGAAATTATCGAGTCGTTATGTTCATTGGAATCAAGCCTTTGCCAACATTCAGTGTTTGATTGTATTTAGGAGATTCATTTGATATGTTATGTTGTCTAGGTTTTAATGAATAATTCAACGCTTGTACTATTATGGTCCATTTAATCAATGTCTGTGTCAATTGCAGTCCATGTGTTTTACACGCACAAATCGTTTCAGTCGGTGTTCATGCTACCAGAGTAAAATTTTGTCCCGAAACTTTAACCTGAGACCATGGAATCCACTTTAAGTTGTATTTTGTGTTTTTGTATCGGCACATTCGTTGTGCTTAACGTGCTAGGAAGCATTGAGTTTTCAAGATATTTTCCGCTGGACAATTATACTTGCGATACTACAAAAATCGTGTTTCATTTAATACGTAATAACCGCGTTACATGTGCGATGATGTGTTCTTTCAACGATGATTGCTACGGGGTTTATTTTGATCACGTGACACAGGAATGTAAATGATGTTCGGCAGACTTTGATGACATACCTCGGGCTCGTAATGGGTCTGTGTATTACGCTCGTAATAGTAAGTTAAACGAAAGTAAGTATACGTTAAAACTGAATATTTATTAACATTATTTACAATGTGTTAACATGTAATTAGTTACATGTACCTTTGTTTTTACCTTTGAGTCTAAGTGTGGTACATTAAGCTTACTTTCTAGTTAATAAGGTATAAAGCTTACTAAATGTTATTAGCATATTAACATATTTTATATCTTATTAACACTAAGACCATTCAGCTAGACCGCTACATTGATGCGAATAAAATTGCAGCAAGTTACTTTTGATTATTACATACATCAAAGTCAGTCTGATTCCGTTTTTTTGTATGTACGTGTGTATGTTTGATTACTTTTTTGAGCAGGCACACATCACATCATGAAGTACGCAAATGCTCAGTTCAACAATAAAAGATGCAATGAGAGCGAACTTGTGTTTCACAATTTCAACATGACAAGTTATCAACAATGTGCAAGAGCATGTGCCGACAGTTCTATGTGCTTCAGTTACTTCTATAATCCGGACAAACAAGAGTGTCTAGGATGTCAATCTGAGTACAGCGTTCTAAGAACCAGTCCAGTGCTGGAAGAGTGGACCGGCTCAATTTATTTTGGACGATTTCGTAAGTTTTAAAATGTTCGTGTTTCGTGTTAGCCAACATGATAGTTTGTACAAAAAATTTTGAACTTAATTGGTTATGTCGATAAACGAAAATAAAGTTAAAATAAAGTTAATAGATCATGATTAACGTAATAAAAAAATAAAAAAAATATCGATTCATTTGTTATAAATAATAAAAAAGAGTATTAGTTTATGCTTTTAAATTACGTGAGCGTTCATATGATGGCTGACTTGTGCCATTTCGTATTTTCCTTCCTGGTACCAAATAACCTTGTCGTATAATCGTGTTTTATACTTGTGGCTAGCCTGGGTTTCAGTCTGTCGATTTTTTTATATGCTTCTGTTTTGCAAATCGTAATACGGAACGAATCAAAACCATGAACGAATACCGAATAGTGCATATGTTATGAATAAGCAAAAACTATCAACGCCTGAATCCAAGGCTAGCTTGCTCCCTGCAGGGCAAAAGTACGAGAAGTGGTGACTTTCTGAGCAAAAGTTAAACAAAATAGATACTTTGCCGTATTTTCACGTCTTCGTCCGGTGAAAAAAGACATGACACAAACCAGCCATCATACGTTCACGACTTACATCATAATGTTATACGCTTTGTACATATATATAACTATGAGTCTCAAGATTAAATTATTACATTTTCTGATAATGATCATTTTATTGTGTAAACGTTTTAAAAGAGAACCAAACGAATAGATAAAAACATGTACTATTTATATTATATTGATATTTATCTTTTAAAAGGGTATCTCGGATGTTACGACAACTATCCACGAATTTTGGAAAATGCCCATACATATTCTACGGGCATGGTCACTGAATTATGTGTCGCACGTTGTATAAGTGGAGGATATTTGTATGCTTTGACTGAGGTAATGTATGTTTTGCAATCTTTAAATGAACACGATTGAAAATCTTAGCCGAGATAGTTAAGACCCCACCTTTATAAAATAAATTAAAGAAGCCCCATTAAACACATCAACAAATTTCTCACGATATTTCCGTTATTTGCAACAATATATGACAATTTGCGTTCCATTTGGATTCACATTTAAAAGTTTTGAATACCGCTAAAGTTGGTGGGACCGTGCCTGAGAAATGTATGATATTTTAAAAAAAACTCGTGAACAGGCTTAAAACCAAACCTGGGCTATGCACTTATTTGCTTTGATTTCATTTCAGTCTAGGGGTCTGTCTTTTTTCAGATTTGATTTAAAATTTAATCTATATGCTATCCAGTCAGTATAATTAAACATAATTAGATACTTTCGCAATGATCCGTATTATTATACAGATTTACTTTTACAATTACCCGTATTATTATACATATTCACTTTTTAATCACCCGTATTATTATACAGATACACGTTCACAATGATCCGAACTATAATACAGATTTACTTTCAAAATGACCCATATTATTATACAGATTTACCATTACTGACAATGATCCGTTTAATTAAACAGATACGTTTTTTAAATAATTCGTATTATAATATCGATTTATTTTCGCAATTATCCGTTTTATTATACAGATTTACTTTCATAATGGCCCATATATAGTTATTTTTCGGATACAATTTCACAATGATCCGTATTATTTATATACATTCAATTTTACTATGATCCATATTAGCAATAAACTTTTTTAAAATGAACCGTCTATTAAACAGATATACATTCACAATGTTGCATTATCCGATTCAAAACATATTTTAGAGTGGTCATTGGTGTCAATGTGGCAATGACTTTTCACCAAATGAAAAACTTACAGAGGATCGATGTAACTCGGCTTGCCCTGGGAATGAAGATCAATTTTGTGGAAATGCGTACGTAGGATCAGTGTACATCTTATAATACAGCTTGATAGGCTTGTAATGGAGTATATTTTTTCGACTGTATTATTATAAAATTATGTGCACGATGAGATATAAACGTGATTCGAAACGGACGATGATAATTAAACAACAACAACAAAAACAACAAGAGAACTCAAAAGAATCGGAGGCAGTTACCTAAACCATCATGAACTAAAACAGTTTCTCTTGAAATTGCAAGACATTGTAATTAAGATTGAAATAACAATTTGAGAATATTTTGACAAAGTTTTACGTTTGAAGAGGATGTTGTATTTAAGTAAATTTATCAATACCATACGTATGTCGTAAGAGAGGATAATTCCTTGTTTAAAGTGTATATGAATATTTTTTACTAAGAATGCAATCGTCGAATACCCACGGTTGATTAACATGCAATCAAGCCGTGGATTTGCGTCGACTAACAGCAGCAGGTACTTTGAATCTGCCAATGAAATCGCGTTTAACAAATTAATATTTTTTAACGGCGGAGGCAAACACTATCTGTTAAAGTAAATTCTATTCCTTTTTTCTGGAAATCGTTCACATTTTTTATATTGAACTCTTATCATTTGCCACAGTATTGTCTGTGATACCGAACGTTATATTGAACGATCATTTTGATTTGTTTTAATCGCCCTAAGAAATCGCGTGGCAACCAATGAATAACTGTCCTTGACACATCTCTTATCAACTGGGTATCGGCTAAAATCCCACCGCAGCTACATGTTAATTATCCGACGATGTAAAAATGTATTTATTGAAAAAATATCACTTTAAAGTGATACATGTTAAAAAGTTTACATTTTAATGCAATACGTTTTCTTTGAAATATAATAATGTTTTGCATATAAACTAATGAGACATAACCAAATATGTCGCAAACCGACGGTAAGTATAGTTAAATATTTTTACCAGCTGTTCCTTGTTGTACTTTGCATTATTTAAAAGCATTACCTTCATTTTGTAAATCAACAGTAGCATTAATTTTTATGAACTTCATCTTCATACATTGTTTTTAATTTTCAAGTATTCTACCGTTTCCAAATTTTTACATGCTGCTTCAGTTTGATATTACATTTCATACACGCATGTAATAGTAACTATATAGATCGGTTGTAATATTTCAACTTTTTAATTCTCGATTTAATCTATCTTCACGCATTCACAATTTTAACTTCACGTTTTGAACTTCACACTTTCAACTTTGTGAATTGACGATTTCAACGTCTTAAATTCAAGGTGAATCTTAAATTCTTATAATCGTAAAGTTCAAAATATACATCTATAAACTTGAAATTATATAGTTGAATTCGTGAAGAGGAAATCGTGAATTCGTGAAGGTGAAATTCTAAATTCGTGAAGTTATAATCGTAAAATTCAAAACGTTAATTTGCGAAGTTGAATTCTTGAAGTTGATCTCGTGAATTCAGGAATTTATGGTAACTCGCAACTGTTACTCACTGGCTATATCGATAAGCTATATAATCTCCTTTTGCAATTTGGCAATCGGCATAAGTACTGTGATTTAATATTTTGTATGGGTGTCAAAATACCGCTTTGTTTACAAGCCGTCCGATTAGCTCAAAATGTGGAGCGTTTGACTGTTAATAGGACGACCCGGGTTCGATTCCCGGACGGCGCAGGTCTCTTTCGTTGTAATTTATCATAAAATCCTTTCTGCGTTATTTCGCAATGTACCTCTGTAGGGCATGTACAGAGGTTATCAGCTCTTTGCGAATTAGTACTGGTAAACGGCTTGACAACTTGCCCAGGAACAATTTAGTAACACTGTACTCTGGTAAATTCAGTGTGGCTCCCTGTCGTTATCCGGAGGGTATACTACCAACACCTCCACCATCACCACTTTGTTTACTCATTGCCGTGCTCATGGCGTATCTTTGCACATTCAGTGCTAATTTATTGAGGAGGTATTTGATATCTAAAATGCTCAGAATCGACTATTAAAACATATAAAACACACGTTTGACTTCCTACGAAACTAAAAACATGGTTTATTTCATCAATAATGCAATCTTGTTCATTGGAACCAGCAACTCAGGTGAGGGGTAAAAGGTCATTATGGCCCTCTTTTTTAACAAAATCCCTACTAATAAAAAATGAACACCAAATATAGTTGTTTGTGTTGATTGTTTGTTAAATCATTTATTAAAAAGTAAAATGTAAATAATGCCATACTATTTGGTATCCGACAATCTTTCTTACAAGTGATCGATTTGAAATATTATGTTCCGTTCAGAAATACTAAATAAAAAATATTCTGATGCATACCCTCACAAGAAATTTGTAAATAACATACTGGAAACAGCTTGTTCCGTGTTCGGCCAGCCGTCGTTTCTTTATCCAGCAGCATAGCTCTAAGACTATCAGAGGTATTGCCACATAGAGTAATTTTTATTAAATATTTCTAATAAGGGATCAAATTCCTTGTTCATTAAGCAATAACTTTTCATGCACATTTCAAGAATAATTACTCCTAGTCAGACCTTACAAAGCGTCGCTTAGATTGTGTTTAGTTTTTGTCGTTTATTTCATTGTTGTTTTGATTTGATTTTCAATCTTTTGTGACAATGTTCTTTATGTATAAAAATGTATTTTTTTAGTAAATGTTACTACATTTTCTTATATGTGACAAGGTACTTTATATGTATGGGTTACTGCAATAAAAATTTTGATTGACAAATGTAATAAGATAATTATTATTTAGAAATACTGTATTTCTTTTTCTTATTGACTTGTCCTGTTTTTTTCAAAAGTACAAAGAAGAAAACAGTTTCTGAAGATATTTTAATGCGACCATAAATATAACAAGGTACATTTATAGAGGTTTTTAAACGCCAGACGAAATCGATGTATTAATAAAGTACATTCCTAATGCATTTATAAGTTTTGGCCTTGATCTATATACTGTAACGAAACTGGGTATTTTAGAGCACAATTTACTCGAACAATGTACGATAATGTATGATATAAGCATGTGTTGTTTTACTGAAAACATCTACGGATGAATCAAAATACTAAATTTCATCATTTTCATGTTTAAATGTTGAAGCCTGCGACATGTTTTAGTTTAGTTTAGTTTAGATTTCTTGGATTGAACTATTTAGTTCACAGTTGAAGGTCGATTGAAATAAAAAAAATCTATGATACTAAATACTTAAACAAAAACGAAAGGTCTATAATTCTAAGGAAATAATACAAATCGGATATTTTATCCCTTTAATGGAAAATATACCTATATGTATCTGGAATATTCTTGATTTAATGAATGATCTAAGCTAAATATTGAACTGCATGTAGCGTGTCAAAAATGTTCAAAAAGAACATTTTTTTTCTTATTTCGTTGAACGACAGTTTTAAACATTACATCAATTATGTATCATTAGCCCTATATAGCCCATAGAAAATGCTTCAATATTTAGTGTGTCAATAAGAGATTGTTCCGTGAAGGACGACTTTAATTTACTCTTTTAAACTGTGTTTGCATTTCTTAAAAGTTTAATATATGTCACCAAAGCTGTAAGTATGTTTAACATTTTTCATATTGTCACCTTTACATTAAAAGGGGGTAATGCAAACATACAGCAATGACATTTGAATAGCATTTTAGAATTTTGCGCTTGAAAGCTGTTTTTTGTGAGAACGATAATAACTTTAATCTAAATGTTCAAACATTTAAACATATTTAGAGTTCCACAGACTGAAAGTTGATTACCTTTGTACCGTTAATTGAATTAAACAAAACAAAACAAAATAGAAATGAATATGTATAGTGTAACTAATGTTATTTCGTCGCAATTTGATCTTTATATTTGTATGGCATTGTATTAAAATTGTGAATTATTTATCATGAAATTCCAAGTAAAGGTCTCTTAAAGCGAAATATAGTGTATACTCTCTAGCTGTAAAATGAAGAATGGACAATGAAAGAAATTTTATTAATAACATGAACATAATGAACTTTTAAAACAATTAGTGACAATCGTTACTTCATCATTGCGTTTTCGTTTCCACAATCAACTATCTCAATACATTGAGTACATTGGTACGAACAAGATATTAAGTCATTCCAATGGCATAGTTTACTCGTAACTACGAAATAATAAGTCATTTCATCGAACAAGCAAGATCTAGCATGCACGAAGTCTTTCGAGTTTCTTTTGTTATTCCGAATTTTATTCACCATTTGAACAATGTCATCAATAAGTTCATAATAAAGCCTACTTTTAGAGGCTGAAAAGCTTTAAGGACAATTAACATGTATTATAGAAAATTTGTCATGATTAATGACGGTAATAGACACCCGTAATTGAAAACTGATATCTTATGCAATTCATATTCAAACTGATACACGTCTTTGTAGTTTAACGATATTTTTCTTCATTTTAGGTGGCTTTGTTTTAAGGAAATATTTTGAACAACATGTTATTGCCATCTTTAAATAAAAGTCCGAAATAAGTCAGTATTATTATATAACAAATTAAAGAGATGTTTGTTTGTTGTTGTTTTTAATACGTTTATTAAAGGTCGAAGCCGGAAAGCCCATATGGGCGACCGTACACTCAAGTCAGGCCATCCTAGAGCGTCCTGTCGAGATTTTTTCGTCGATTTTTTCCAGCTTTATTGGTGGAGGAAGACCCCAAGTGCCCCTTCGGGCATTATTTCAGGCACGAGCGGGCACTTGGGTAGAACCACCGACCTTCCGTAAGCCAGCTGGATGGCTTCCTCACAACATGAAATATTTCGACCCGAGTGAGGATCGAACCTACAGCGGTGAGGGACCTGTGATCTCAAGTAAACGACCTTTACCACTCGGCCACGGAGGCCCCTTTGAAGAGATGACAACCATAAACTCTTTATACATGTATATCTTAACCAATAATGGGAGATAAGTCAGTTTGTTACAAATATATGGTTCTCTATACCTAAATTTGTTATATGCGTACAAGGAAGTCCTGATATCCGGGATAAATTTTGAATGTCGTAGTGAGTGTGCTGTAAGCAGAATATACTGTATAAC